CAGAGTCAGTAATTTGCTCAATAACACAATTTAATTGGGTGTGACATAGCCACTCTTCCTAAATTCTGTGCTCTCTCAATTATGCTCATTCTATAGTCTTTGTATTTGAAAATTCTCATATGGGTGCACAGAGACATAATAATAAGGCTTCTAATAAGCAAAGGCTTCATTTATAATAAAAACTTTGCTAGATCACTTAGTTTATGAACTTGACAACACACCTGAGCAGAAGGCACCTGAGTTGAAGAGTTTCCTCCATTGGATTGGCCTGTGGCCATGTCTATGGGACATTTTCTTGGTCATTGAGTGATATGGGAGTGCCCATCCGACTGTGGGCTTTGCCACCCCAGGTAGGTACTCCGATGCTGTTTAAGAAAGCAAGCTGAGCATGGGCAAGAGGAGCAATCCCGTAAGTAGCAGTCCCCTAAGGGTCTGTGCTCCCGGTTCCTGTCGTGAGTTCCTCCTTGATGATGGACTGTGATCTATGGGCCAAATAAATCCTTCCCTGCCCAAGTTGGTTTTGGTCAGTGTTTTTATCACAGCAATAGAAGGTAATTAGGACAGAAATTATCTACATTACTGATAATTTAATGAGCTCCAACTGCTCATCTGGACATAGTTTGAACCTTTCATATTTTCATGTATTTATTGGTAGAACACGAAAGAGAGAAAAGATGAAAGCAAGGATGGAAGAAATGAACGGAAGGCGTGCAGACAAGCAGAAAAGAATTATACGTAAACAGTTTCTCAGTGAACCTATATTCGAGTCTGGTTTTCTAAGTCTCCTAATATAAAACAATAATTTGGGATAAAAATCTAAAAGAAAGTGGTATTTTTATAAACGTTTACTGTAAAGAAATAGTAAAGATGTATTTGTGTGTAATGGTCCAGAGATGACAGATATGTACAGTTCCATCAGTTTGCCCTCCAAATTTATTTATATACACTTACATCATTTGAAACCTTGAATGCAATCCTGCAGCATCATTCCCATCATCTGGGGCTAATGATGGAACGGTCTGGGCTCTCTAGGCCTTGTGTAGTTATGCCACTCCAGCTCTGCTGCCTGCAACACACCTCTCTTGAGCCATCTCCACTTTCTGTTTGCAGTTTTCCTCCAAAGACCATGATTCTGGCATCTCTAACATCTTGGAGTCTCCATTGAAACAGAGTTTACATTCACAACTTCATAAACTGTCCTGTCAAAGTCTCTTTGAAGATTTCTCAAGCCTGCTATATGTTGTCTTGTCTCATTGGCTCTCTGGAACCTTGGGACCAGACTCCATGGTCCTCTCAATCCTGCATCTTTCATGCCTAAAAAACCAGTACCACATGGGTGATGCTGTACAGTTCTGATATTGGCTTGGGTTGTAACCTGGCCCCTTGGACCACAGCTGTAGCAGCCTGGGTGGATGAATCTGCAAAATCACTTTTTAAGTAGTTAGCTTTGAGCAGGGAAGCCCTTCTGTGGCATTCTTGATTCAGGCTTTCTCCTTTCAAATAAATTTTTCACAAGTCCACTGGTGAGTAGAATCTTGCCTTCTGTGCATCCTTCATGTTTGTCCAATGAAGTCAGTGAAGTTTCTTTTTAACAATTACAGTTGCATTGCTATCTGCATTTTTATCCATAATTTTAAACCTGCTCACACAGCTTTCTTTGCTAAACATCTTTTTCCTGCCTTTTGTTCTTTCTCACTGTAGAGTTTAATAAGAGCTATGAGCAATAACCATGCCTCAACCCAAATGCTGTGCTGTCTTGAAATTTTCTCCAACAAAGAAATTAGCCCATTACTTTTTAAATTCAGCCTCACACAGGTTGACAGAACATGGACAGTAGGTAACCATATTCTTTGCCAGAATACAACATGAATGACTTCTACCCCACTATTTGATAGAATACTTAATCTCCTCAAAAACCTCCTGAGCTGTTTCTCCACTGTCCACATTTCTCTCAGCATTCTGACCTTCAAATCTACACTGGAATGGCCCATTAAGCTCTGCTTATACCATGCAAGAGCTTTTCTAGCCTCGTGTTCCTACCTCTTTTACAGTCCTCCTTCAAACCAGTTCCAAAGGCCTAAGAAACACATGATCACACAACACCCACTTCACTTTCAGTGACAGCTTTCTCATAGTTACTTGTCTTCTTGCCACAACAAAATGCCAAGAAAGAGTAGCTGAAGGAAAGACGGGTGTGGGCACAGTCTATTCAGGCAGGGGTATGATGGTGGCAGGAGCTTGAGGCAGCTGGTCAGACTGAATCTGCAACCAGAAAGCAGAGAAATGAATGCTGGTGCCAATCTCATTCTCTCTTTCTTTAGTCTAGGACAACAGCACATAGAGTGGTATCACCCATGATAAATTAATTGAACCTAGATAATTGTGGTATTACTATACTAACATTACAATTACCCAAACAAAAAGTCTGATTCTTAAATTTAGCTTTTAAGAGTAGGCCCAAATTCAGAAGACACTAGTTCCCCCATGTCTCTTGGAACTGTTTCCTGGAACTGTCCCTAGAGCCCTTTACTCTGGAAGCTTGTCCTCCAGTCAGACCCCACCCATGATCTTATTCAAAATGGTTTCTCCAGATTCAATCTAGGAAGTACAAGTTTGGCTTCACCCTTATCTTAACAGATACTATCCTATCTTTTCATCCCTAGTTCTAGAACATCTCATTCATCCAAGGTCATACTTCCTTCCCAATCTTCACTATGTGCAGTGGAAAAGGGTGTACTGCCTTTCAGTGCTTTGGTATGTTAATTCTCAAGCACACCCACATTCATTCATTTATTATCTTTTTGAGTAGAATACTAAATGGAAGCTCTCAGGAAGCAAGGTCAGGTGCCCAAGGTCACAAGACACAAAAGCACATGGTTTTGCTGGGGTTAATTAAAAGTCTAGATTATGTCCATTTTATAAAAGTCATTTCTACATATAATCCCTCACAGGCATGCTCAGAGGCTTGTCTCCTAGGTGATTCTAGAGAGTGTCCAGTTGACAATCAGTGTTAGGCATCACAAGAGACTTTTAAAATAAAAGTGTGAAATGCATTTTCAAACAAAGGTATACATAAATCACTCTGAAGTTTCAAAGGAGAGAAAACCATATTTGGCAAGGAGATTATAACAGTTTTATGAAATGCTAATTGTCACTTGTGACTCATGAAAGATGATTAGGAGGTTATCTTGGATGTGAGCAGAGCTGTGGTTTGATGTGATGACAGGGAGAAACAGTAGGGGGATTTGAAAGTTTGATTTCATGTGCACCAGAAAGTCTCCAGGGACAGCACTAAGAGATAGGAATTGGTGGTTTTCAGAGTGGAGACCTAGAAAGATGAGAAATGAGGGAAAATCAGAGACTATGTTTGCAAGTAAAGAGATGGTACATAGAGCTCTGAGTGCACAGGGCATCACAGAGCGATCTGAAAGAATTCCCAGGGAAAACGGAATGCTCACTTCACCTACCTCATACTTTGGCTAAGGAAAAGGGCTAATCAAATATATTTGGATCTAAGTTCTGTGTCTCCGCTTGCCAATATAGAGTGCCAAAGACAAGTCAGGTTCTTCCTGAAGATTTGTGTTATTCCCAAAACACTATTTTAGGAAAAGCAGTCAGTGAAATCTCCGTTCATGAGATATATCCTGGCAGCAGTCAGAAAAATCTAGAATATATGACATACATGCAATATCATACTGTACTTGATTCTTAAAGCACTAGTGGTTTAAATGTTTGTTGTCTTCTGTCATTATTAAATATCTACTACTTTCTCTAGCAAATGTATTTTATAACCATCCAAAATATATTTCAATTATTTATGATTGTGATAGTCTGTTTCCAAAAAAATTCTTATAAAAAATGTTAACTTCTTAATTTAGTTCTATAACTGTATGTAGGGCAGATTTTTGTCAAAACATATCCCCTCATGATTTTTGCTATAAACAAGGTAAGAACTGTCTAGTGCCTTGCTTGATTCAAGAACACTCCTCTGAAATCTATTTCTGATACATTCCACATGTAACCACATTGCCCCTGGAAGGGAAGCCTTCCTGCTGAATCAGAAAGGTTTATAGAGATGCAAAAATAACACACAACTGGTGCATTTTAGAAACCACTGATATAGCTACCTTTGCCAACCTTGCAAATGGAAAGGTCTCCTTCCTCCAGATTGAACCCCATATGTCCCAGGTGAGAAGAGAAGAGTGTTCTGTGCATAGAGAGCATGTCTTCATTAAATTCATCACTTGTTGGCTGGCTGTGCTGGCCATAAAGTTACCTCCACCTGGGCCCTTTTAACAGCAGATGGGTTTACTTAGAACAGTTCATCATCCAAACTTGGAGGCCAGATTTCCCTGTGGTTCCAAATGTGCTATGGGAACACTAAACAGTCGTAAGCAATGATACAGTTAGGACAGAGTGGAGCAGACCTGGACAGTGAGGGTCAAGGCAGTAGGCTGGGGCATTATCTTACTGCAACAAGCCATAAAGCACATTCCTGCTATTTACCTACTCAAATCAAGCTGACAACCTGAACCTGTTAAGTTTGCTGTGCGCTTGTGACTCTGGCATTCAAAACTGGAGAAGAAATAAGATCAAGCAGATCGCATGTGAGGCTGCCTAAGCAGGGTCAGGGCAGCTGTGTTAGCTCAGCAATATTCAGAGAGCAAAATCAAGCAGGGTGTCTCTACAGGTGACTATGCGCTGAGCTGCAAATTACGACTTTAGACCTGAGATTGTGGCAGCTTTAATATAGATCATCGTTATTTTAGACTCTGAATGGAGACATAGTAAGTTCTCCACATATCCAATTTTCTCATCCTATCAGTTTTAATATTGCACCGTCTGTGTCGTCAAACATTCTCTGTGTGTGTGTGTGTGTGTGTGTGTGTGTGTGTGTGTGTGT